ACTTGCTGGACCGGACTGGGACTGACTGTGGACTCACCGCTATCCTACCGACGTTGTACTGTTGTTGCACTGCAGTTTAGTCCACCACTTGCCTCTCCACTTGACCACTTGCCCACTTGCCTACCTTCTAGAAGGTCTACAGCTAAGCTTCCGGAACTCACTAAGACTCCTACGCTATAGACGTACAGATCGAACCCCTGCTGCCTATGGACCTATGACAGGCCTACCAACTGCCTACGAATACACAGGTCACAGGTTCAATTCTCGGGGTCTACACAGATACTGTACATGGGTAGGGTGAGGTCTAGGGATCGAACCCTGGGTACTGCATCCGCCACTGCTAGAAGGTGAAAACCGTTTCATTATTATAGGCAGTCTGCTTTCAACAAGGGTCAAAGGGTTCATGATCCAAAGCATCTTTTTTTTTTTTTTTTTTTTTTTCATGATCCAAACCATCAATATGGGGATTCCCCATATTTGTTGAAGGTTCAACCTCCTGATGAGTCCGTGCAATTCCTAGGAAACAATCTTGCATCATCACTTTTTATTTTTTTCGCTTTTCCGTTTTTCGGTACTTGCCTAGGCTACCAGCCGGGCCGCCAGGGTCAACTTGTTTTCCCGAGGCCCGACGGCGCAAGGACCACGGAAGGTCCCAGCAAAACAAAAAAAAAAATCCCAAAAAATCCCCAAAAAACTATGTTATGCAGAAAAATAAACTGAACAAGTTAGAACAACTTTTGCCTCAGGGTCGCATCGAAATTTTAGGTAGAAGGGGTTAACTTCAGTAGAGTCACAAGAACGAGCTATAATTGCACTATGTGGCAAGATACAGTTTGCAATTGCACTTCGGGCACCCTACACCTGGCCAGAAAGTTGGGTTGTATACATCGCCCGAACTGCAAGTCGAAACTGTATTTTGGCCCATGGGCTCGGCCAGGCAACTATGGCTATGCTAACTTCTTCCAGCCCACTTCGACTTCGGGCACTCTGCAGACCACCTCGCACAAGACGCTTGAGACAGCGCTTCCACATGGCTTACGCAGCGAATGAATGAATTGCTGGACGCTGCCTCTTGATTTATACTTNCAGACCACCTCGCACAAGACGCTTGAGACAGCGCTTCCACATGGCTTACGCAGCGAATGAATGAATTGCTGGACGCTGCCTCTTGATTTATACTTTTGTAAGTCGTTGGTCTGCCCCTTTCCTCCAGGCCCTCGGTGCACACAGTCCCACACAGTACTTGCTTGACTGGACCGGTACCACTGACTGCACGGGGTTGCACTGCCGACTCAATGGGGTCGCACTGTCTACTCGACACAGCTGGACCTACGACTTACCTACAGACCTCTAGCCTAGCAGTTTCGACCTCTACACAACTGTAACCCCTACTCGACAGGTCTACAGATCGAATCCCTACAACTACAGGGACCTACGACAAAACACAGTCACTACTAAAACACAGGTCGTGGGTTCAAAACACACAGGGCGCAGTAAGGTCTAGGGATCGAACCCTGGGATCTGCATCTGCGTCTGCAAATGTGAAAACCGTTTCACTCCCGCCGGCCTAAATTCGAGGTCCTTCGAGAATGCTTCAGTCCAAGGCAGGACCTTTACCTTTCTTATCTCTCTCATAGGCCCGGACTACATGGGGAGCTGTTTCTAGAAGTTTTGTTCTGGTGAACCAGCGGTCATCTTCAGGTTCTCGATAAGAGAATCTGACTTTGTACTGTTTGTGTGGACGACCCCTACCTCCTGTTCTGAAGACATCCTTACCTACTATGCCATCAATGTCGTACCTTCCATCCATATTGGGAGGAATCATAGACCTTCGTGATGGAAACTGTTGACCCGCAGTACAGGGTAACAACTTTGATGCATGGAAAACTGGGTAGGTGTGGAGGTGTGCTGGAATCTCTATTGTGTAGGACTGCCAATCCTCTCCGCCCTTGACTTCTAGGACTGGCCACGGTCCTCTATAAGCAGGAAGTAGCTTATGCGAGATGTTCTCCTCAGGAGCAAATTCTTTTGACTTGACCCAGATTAAGTCGCCGACTTGGAACTGTAAAGGGCGACGATGTTTGTTGGCTTGTTCTATCATTCTGTGCTGGGCCTTTCTGAGGTTCTCAACTACTGTAGCGATCTCTTTCTCGTGCTGTATCGCAAATTCCCTAGTATCGGGCGGTAGCCTCTGGATCTGATCGCGGTTAAGTCCTTCAAACGGTCTGCGTGGTTTAAAAGACTTATGCAGCTCATTGGGAGTGCGACAAGTGGCTAAGTGCACGCTATTGTTGTAAGCACTGGCTACCTTTGGAAGCATCTCATCCCAATCTAGTTGATCGGGTCTAATGTACATTCTCATAACTTGTTGAAGGACTTTATTCATCTGTTCAGTCTGTCGGTTTGTCTCTGGATGACGACCAGACGACATTAACAACTTTGATTCGTAGACTTTCGTTAAATCCTGCCAATTTTGACTAGTGAACCGGGTGTCTCTGTCACTAACTATAGACAATGGTAGCCCATGTTCACTGACGCAATGGTAAAAAAACTTCCGGATCACTAAATCTACACGTGCCTCAAAAGGCAAAGGAACGAAGATGGCATACTTGCTAAGCCTGTCTACTACGACCATGACTTGACTCTTGTCATGTCTACTTTTGACGGCAACGTCCATGAAATCTATAGACACTGAATCTCCGGGTCCTTCTGGGATAGGCAATGGTTTGATAAGACCTATAGGGGCTCGCATAGTAGTCTTGTTCCTTTGACATACTTTGCACTGCGTACGTATTCTATGCAGTCGGCCTTCATACCAGGCCAGGTATACGCGCGCATGAGGTTGGCTAATGTTTTTTCCCAACCGAAATGTCCCTCTGTGTCATGGCATTCCCCTAAGATCAAACTTAGGATATCTTCGCTATTGGGAACGCATAGGCGGTCAACAACATTTGTCTTCTCAAACAACAAGCCGTCTGTAGTGCGGTAATCTGGTTCTGATTTTGGTGCCTCCTTAACTCTTTTGAGGAGGTTGCTATAGATAGGGTCCTGCGCATACGCTTCTTTGACTCTCTGTTGCAGGTCTCTCCCTATATCCAAATAATATACTATCGCTCCAAAGTAGTCCGATCTCCTACTAAGAGCGTCCGCAACTACATAGTATTTCCCTTTGACTGGCTTGAGCTCAAAGTCATACTGATCTATCTCTGCAGCCCACCTAGTTAGCTTTGGTGTCATCTTGGCCTGCATTTTCAGCCACCTTAGTGTCTCGTGGTCTGAATACACTTTGAAGTGTCTCCCAAGCAAGTAGTGCTTCCAGTGGTCTAACGCTTGCCTGAGAGCATAGAGTTCCCTCTCGTAGGTGGATGTCGCTACCTCTTCTGAAAGCATTCTAGCAGACATGAACTCTACGGGTCTATATCCATTACCATCGTCTTGTTGTAGAACAACACCTCTGCCATATTGACTTGCATCAGTGGTAACGACGAATGGTAATGATGGATCGGCTACCTTAAGGACACGGTACTCTATTAAGGTCCGCTTTAACTTCTTCGGAGCCGTTGTGCAGTCTTTATCCCACTTCCAAATTGCGTCTTTCTTTAGCAACCTCCGAAGGGGAGCAGCGATGGTGGAGAAGTTATTGACGAACTTTCTATAATAATTTGCTAACCCCAAAAACGACCGCAACTCTATCAGCGTGCGAGGAGTGAGCCAATCTCTAATCGTTGCTATCTTGTTCTCCTCAAGCTTTATGCCATCTCCATCTAGGACGTGGCCCAGCTATAAAACTTGTGTCTTGGCCCATTCACACTTCTTCGCATTGATCTTGAAGTTAGCTTCTCTCAGCTTCCCCAAGACCTGCCTCAGATGGCCCTCATGCTCCTGGAGGGTATTACTAAACACCAAAATATCACACAAGAGGTTAACGGGGCATCTGGTTTTCAGGCCTGAAATTTCTGAAATTAGGGTTTTCGGCTCAAATTTTATGTTTTTTTGGGTGCTCGGTTAACATGCTCTCAAATATCATCTAGGTATACAACTACAAATTCATCTAACCACGGCCTAAACAAGTCGTTCATACAGCGCTGAAACGTAGCTGGCGCGTTGGTTAATCCGAAGGGCATCACTATAAACTCATAGTGCCCGTATCTGGTCCTGAACGCCTTCTTGTTGTGATCATCAGAATGGACCTCTATCTGATGATAGCCTGACTTGAAATCTGCACTCGGTCCAACAAATCATCTATTCGAGGCAGTGGTTCTGCGTTTTTTACTGTGATGGCGTTGACACCCCTATAATCTATGCACATTTTTAACTCTCCCTCCTTTTGGGGGACAAACAAAAGAGGCGCTCCAAACGAAGACGAACTGGGCCTAATCCAACCCTTCTCGAGGAGTTCGTCTAACTGTTTTCGCAGCTCCTCTAACTCCGTTGGGGACATTCTATACACCGCTCCTTCGGAAGTTCTACTGCCAGGCTCTATCTCAATTCGATGCTGCATCGGCCGATGTACTACTCCTGTAGGCGGCTAAGACAGATCCGCATACTCCTCCAGCAACTTGGCAATACGAGGGCCTATGGGCTCTTCGGACTTAGGCTCAGTGATTGGCCTAACATAGGCATCGAAAACATGTTCTTCTAACTTCTCCTTCTTCACTATCCTGCATATTCTCCTTCTTCACTAACCTTGTGAATGCAGGAGGAGCGTTGAGGCAGCAATGTGCTAAGGGATTCTCTACCCATGACACATGAAACAGGCGGGCAGTCTCGACTCCACCTGAAGGACTAGGGAGCCTACACTCATGCTCTCTCAAATGAAGTGTGGACCCTGCTGCGTTTCCCCAGTCCATTCCTAGGACTATATCAAACGGGAGGTTGTCTTCTACAAGGAGAGTTAGGGAATGGAGAACTCTCTCTACCTTTCCATCCTTCTCTAGGCGAAAATAAGCGTGGACTCCCTCGACATAATCCTTGACTCGCATTGTGCGATTATCTGCGAGGATGCTGACTATAGGTTCCTCTAGCTTTCGGACCTTTAGATTCCGCTTCAACTTCTGTAGCGCTTTGCGGCTAATGTAGCTACGGGTAGCCCCACTGTCTATAAGGGCCCCTACTCTGCCTCTAAAAGTCTCTACATCTACCAATACTAGTTGTCCTTTCTCATCCTTCTTCATCTTGGCCTAGGCAGGCATCCTCTCCTTCAATTCTTTTGCAACGCCTTTGAGGGAAGTGCCTAGAGAGACTCTAACACAAGCAGTCTCTGGACATCTTTCTAGGCACTGGCCAGCAACCTCTGCCATAAACACATGTGGGTTAGGAGTTTCTCTATGGTGCGCGCACTCTTCTCCACATGGTCTAGAGGTAAGGGCAGTTGCGACCCCTACCGGCGGTTGTCTTTTGCTGCCTGTGCAGCAAATCGGGCCTCCCTATATTTTGGGCAGTATTTGATAATATGACCGGGATCACGGCGATTCACCGCAGCAAATGCACTAATCCTGGTCTATCCTCTTCTGCCAGACTTTCTGATCGAGACTCGAGTCTTCCCAAGGCCTGCCCTGTGGCAAGCCAGGGTGCCATCCACCCCTCCTATAACATGACCGATTAGAACACGGACGGTTTTGCGGGGGACCTTGACCCCTACCTCCCTCTTGGTGGTTTCCCTTGCTGCCAACCCCCTGATCATCCTGTCCTCAGCCACTTGAGGCCCGACCCCCTTGGCCCCGGCCTCCTCTTCCTTACGGCCTCCCTCCAGCCGTGACAGCAGTATAGGACCTCTCTTGACCTACACTCCTGTCCTCCTCCTCGAGGCCCCTCTATCTCGCTATACGGGACCTCCTCCATACCTCCTTCATCCAAGTCAGGATCAGGCTGTCCTTCCCCTTAACATGCCCTGAAATGGTATGGCCCTTCCACTTCTTACCCTTGTCAAAATCTATGTGCCAAAAGGCTTTCACTGGCGTGGACTGGGCCTCATATGCAACAACGTCGCGACTCAACCTATCATAAGTCATACCCTGTTCTCGCGACTTCTCGTAAAAATGCCCGTGCAAACTCTCAAGCATTGCACGATAAAATAATTGAACCAACTGTGGCTCAATGACCCCATGGTTAGGGACTGCGACAAGCTCGTCCATGGCCCCCTTGAGTGCCCTTGCACTCTTCCACTATCGTGTGTGGATTGTTTGGAGCTTGTCTGAGGCTTTAATTCCCTTAGTTACATCCGCAAAACGTTCGCGAATTAACTTTAGGAATTCACTGAGGGGAGTGATGGTGGAGTAAGCCACCATGTCATTGTCACATTTGGCAGCACGGGCTAATGATCTGGCGAAGCTAGACGCTTCGTCTCTAAGGGCGCGGAATGCGACGAGGACTTGCTCCTCAGGAATAATGTCCTAGAGGTGCACGTAGGAATTGATGATGGCCTCCCAATTATCGAAGTCTTCCCCTTGCTTCCCGCGATAGGCGTCAGGAAACTTGACTTTGACTCGTTCCCTACACGAGCGTGCCTCCTCCTCCTTTGGGGCTGCAATCTTGACGCCCTCTATGGTGCCAACACAAAACTGTTTTGTGTTCTTTATGCGGGCCTGCATCTCAGAGCCCATCCGCATCATCATATCATGAGCGAAATCTCTAAAGCCTACTTGGATGGACTGTAGGGCTACGTCATGGCCCCTGGAGGCATGCATTTGCTCCTGTTGGACGCGAATCAATATGTCTATACTTTTCGCTATCACATCCACCTTACTCTGCAAGTCCCCTTGTGCTAGCGCATTTAAATGTTGCTCTGCTGCGGCAACCAATTCCTTCTCTTGCTCGGTGGCCGCCGCTATGCGCCTCCTCCTCTGCCTTCTCAATCGCAACTTCCACTCCATTTTTTTCTCGCCTTCTAGAGCCTGCTGCTCTAACGGGTCTTTCAAGGCCTTTATCTCTCCCACTGCAGCATCCCTCTCGTCTTGGGGGATGTACATCAATGCTTCTTCATCCTCCCCCAGGGATAAATTAGCCACCCATTCCGACACCATCTTCTCCAGTTTCTTATCATCTTCACTGGTCCCACTGGACTCCCCTCTTTCCTCTCTCCTCCCAGTCCTCAACAGGGGCATCTCCTCTTCCTCCTCTTCTTCTTCTTCTACTTCTTTAAGCTGCTCCTCCTCTTCTCTCTTCACCCTCTCCGTCTTTTCCTTAAGCTTCTTCTTCTTCGCCGCCTGTACTTCCAACAGGGCCTTCTTCTTGGCCTCCTTCTTCTCCTTTCTTTCTCTCAGTATAGCGGCGACACTCTCCTCTTGCTCCTTCGTATATGGAGTGGTGCTCGTTCCACTACGCATGCCAACCATGGTGACAGGTGTACAACCAGATGACAATTCCACTCCTCACCACATAGACTCTTACCCCCCTGACTAACTTAACTTAAAATTGACTCAACTAAGGACCATAGAATCCTTGAAGGACCCTATCAACTATGGGCTCTAGCCTGACTCTACTTCTAGGCTGTCACTACAGGACTTACTGCTGATCAGGAGATCCCCCGTAACTCCTCAGGAATTATTTAACGTCGCAAACAGGACGCCGCGATCAGCAAGTCCTCTCAAGACATAGACAGCTGGTTGTGCAGCCCACAGCTTGGATTTTGGGCCTACCATGCCACACTGAGCAGCCCGCCAGTCTATACCAGTCCTTGGGAGGGTTTGTCCTCCGGGTCAGTCAGTCGTCAGACATGGCCTTTAGCCCTACTCAGCCCGTGTGGGTTTGGTCAACGCAGCTCTATGACCTCATTCACAGAGTTCCTATCACTTGGACATAAGAGACTCAATGCAGAAAGAAGAGACAGATTGACTCATCAAGTACCATGGGGAGTGTGCACATCCATAGGGCGAGGGGGTAGGTTGAAGGCTTGGTGAAAATATACAACTCCGGCTTGGTCAAACTTCGTGGTCAACGGCTTCGGTCAATGCCCTGGTCGCCACTTTCGTCAACACTAGTCAACGCCCCAATCAATTCCTTGGTCAACGCTGGTCAACACTTCGGTCAACACTTCGGTCAACTCTTCGGTCAACGCCCTCATGCACCCCGGTCAACGCCGAAAAACACTTGGTCCTCTCCCTCTCTTCGTTCCTTCCCTCTCTTCTTTACTCCTCTTTTCCGTGTCCGAGCTCGGCGGCTATGGCCCCCACCTTCTTCCTTAGGCCACACAACAATCTTGTATCGCTCCTCTCTCTCTCTCTCTCTCTCTCTCTCTCTCTTCGTCGTTGTCTTCTGTGCAGGTTCGCGGCACCCTCCTTCGGTGCGGCTATGGCAAACCGTCCTCCTTCGTTGGCGCAGCTGCAGCTACGGCGCCCGACAATAACAACGGCGATGGCGCGCAGAGTAACGGGAACCAGCTCCGATACCTATGCAATCACACTCGCTTTCTTCTTCGCTTCACATACATGCAAACAGATGGCGATTCACACTGGCGCACAACGCCCACTCGAAAGTCAGAGATATGGAACTCGAGAACACAGTTCAGCAAACTTGCTTCAACAGGCTATGGCGCATCAGTGCCTGTACATCCCAACTCTCGATACTGTTTCCGACACCACTATTTGCTCTCACTCAACTCTGGATCACCCTGAATACCCCACACACACACTCTGTATCACACTTCACACACTAACACCTCTCTGCAACCTACAGCGGCTATGGCCGCTCAACCACTAACTATGGCTATGCTAACTTCTTCCAGCCCACTTTGACTTCGGGCGCTCTGCAGACCACCTCGCACAAGACGCTTGAGACAGCGCTTCCGCATGGCTTACGCAGCCAATGAATGAATTGCTGGACGCTGCCTCTTGATTTATACTTCTGTTGGTCGCTGGTCTGCACCTTTCCTCCAGGCCCTCGGTGCACACAGTCCCACACAGTACTTGCTTGACTGGACTGCGACTGACTGGACCGGTACCGCTGACTGCACGGGGTTGCACTGCCGACTCAATGGGGTCGCACTGTCTACTCGACGCAGCTGGACCTACGACTTACCTACAGACCTCTAGCCTAGCAGTTTGGACCTCTACACAGCTGTAACCCCTACTCGACAGGTCTACAGATCAAATCCCGACAACTACTACAACTACAGGGACCTACGACAAAACACAGTCACTACTAAAACACAGGTCGTGGGTTCAAAACACACAGGGGTCTACTCGATACTGTACACGAGCGCAGGTAAGGTCTAGGGGTCGAACCCTGCCATCTGCATCTGCGTCTGCAAAGGTGAAAACCGTTTCAGAAGCAGCTTATAGTCTTTCAGCAAGTAGGAGACGGTGAGGAGAGGGGATTATGAAGACAGGCCCACAAACAGAAAAGAGCCGTTTTCGGGATAAGTACTTGAGCCGTTTTCCGGGTCAAGCACTTCCTACAGTCAATGCTGGTGGCACCTCAAGACTGTTCAAATAAAGGGACGCTGGAGCCGCTTTCCAGCAGGTGCGGCTCAGGCCCACCACCAATAGGATGGGAGCAGCTGGAACACCTAGTAGGTGAGTGAGCTCATACCACCTCCCCTACCGTCTTCCCCTGAACATAACGCACCCTAAAAACGAATGTATACAAGCTATATTTCCGGCCGGATACAGCCAAAATAAGGGTGCGTTGTGTTAGGGGGAAGACGGTAGTACAGGGTTGTGGTTTTCCATGAAAAAAAAAAAAGTACTTCTTACAGTGACCGTCTCCCAGGGCCAAGGAAGTCACGCTCCAGTGAGGCAATCACACACCAGCCAAGTGCGGTATACCTAGAAGTGGCACAATTGAGTGCCCTTCACAATTGAGTGCCCTTCATGAAAAAGCTGCAGAGTGATCGGAGGGATTTAGGGCATGCTCACAGTAGGACTTTTTTACTTATTTATGGCCGTAATTGCAGTCAGATGCATCTTGGTCCTGCCCAAAACCAATCAGGTGCATTGAATAGATTGACCTAGTGTCCTCCCCACGAATAGACTGGAGCACGATGGTTCCGGAAAAAAAAAAAAAAAAAAAAAAAAAAAAAAAGAAGAAGAAGAAGAAGAAGAAAGGATTGACCTAGTGTGAGTACGCCCTTCGAAAAGAGAGAGAATGAAGCTACAGCACGGAAAACCGCATCGGAGGGACTGAAAGCAGAGAGGAGCAAGCTAAGAAGCTTTATACGAGTGGTGGGCAGTAGCATACTTGCCCTGTATGAAGGAACAGACACTGCGGAAGGGAAAGTAGTCAAATGACAACACCTGAAAAAAAAAAAAAAAAAAAAATTGCTGCAAGCGCAGACGGATAAGCCCCTGGCGGCTGCAACCATACAGGCACAAGGACTTTTCTGGATGTATCTGACCGAAATTGCAGCCTCTTCAGGACTTTTCCGGATGTATCTGACCGAAATTGCAGCCTCTCTCCTGCATGCATCTGACGGGAATCGCCACCGGAGACGAGTCAAAAAAGTCCTAGTGTGCATGTGCCCTCAGGCATGCGCCCATTAGCTTTTCATGGGACACAACGAGTCATTCTGAACGCAGATCAAGACGCAAGAACATCTATATACATATATTGTCACAAAGCTCCGACTAAACAGTTTGTCACAGCCCCTCGTTTGTTGTCCTCTTCTCTCTCTCTGCCTACGGTTTACCGGGCAGTTCTGTTTGTCACGATATATATGTATACACCGGGGTTAAGGTTGATTGTCACTTTAGTATCGTCAGTTAGGGGACTCTACAGACTGTAGAGGGTTCAGGCTCTACTGATTGATGAGTTAGTTGGTGAAACGTCGACGAAACATTCTCTGTCACAGCCCCTCCCTCGTTTGTTGTCCTCTTCTCCCTCCCTTTCTGCCACATACGGTTTACCAGACATATATAGATATATCTAAAGAAAACAAAGGGGAAAAAAAGAAAAAAAAAAACGACGCACGAACACTGCCACAACCATTACGTACTCTTTCAGCGGCCTTCTTCTGGCCACGTGTACGGAGGGGGAGGGACTGAACGAGAGAGAAAGAGCGAGGGAGTGCTCAACATATGATTGACGGAGGGGCGGGGGAGAAGCAGGCAGACGGCAACGCCAGGAAGAACAGCAATCGGACAGCACCACGTGTGTGCGTGTGTGTGTGTGTGTGTGTGTGTGTGTGTGTGTGTGTGTGTGTGTGAGAGAGAGAGAGAGAGAGAGAGAGTACCAAATTCTCCGTCAATGTCTCGTAGGAATAAGGAAATTCACGCATGGAGATGTCCTTCCAGTAGTAGTCGTCATCAATGGCTGGGACAGTGGGAGGCGGATTGGCCTCCGCCTCCTGCTTTGCATCCGCATCGAGCCACACCCATATCATTCTTTGGTGTTCTTTGCAAGGGTAGGCGACTGCACAAGACTGGGGCATTTTAACCAACTCGGAGTTCGATCTCTGCCCCTGCTTTTCAGCAGTTTCGTCGCCATCTTTGGGCGCTTGCGGGATGAGTGTGCACGCCCCTGTTCCGTCAAACACCCAGCCATGGTAGCAGCACTGCAGGCCGCCGGACTCGTGGATCCTGCCTTCTGACAGCGGAGCCAGCCTGTGGGGGCACATGTCCAGGAAAGCCTGCCACTTGCCGATCTTGCCGTCCCACCACAGAACCAAGCGTCGCCCTAGAATGGTTCGGGCATGCGGCAGTCTCGTGTCGAGACTATCCGCCATAGCCACGGGATACCAAGCTCGAAGCCAGTTAAAGACGCCTTCACCCGCCGCCAATTCCTCGGCCTCGGAGGCCACGTCAGCGCTGGAAGGAAGAGCGGGCATCTCCCTCAATCCCTTCTTTCCTTCTTCCTCCGCCTCCTCTTCCTCACTACACGTTTTCTGTATTTCCTGACATCCGACCCTGCACGGAATCGCACCGGCGTCCTCAAGCTTAACAGCTTGGTCCCCCAACCACTGTAGCCATGGCGCGGTGTTTGATCCCGCCATACCCCTTCCCACCTTCTTACCATGTTCCCTTTCTCCCGCCAATGCCGTCGCCGATACTCTCCCGCCAATGCCGTTCCCGCCAATGTCGTTCCCGCCAATGCCGTTCCCGCTCATCCTAGCCGCTCGCTCAACCCGTCTTATTTCCCTCCTCTCCCATGGATTGGTACCCGCCGCCAACGGCTTGCGGCAGAGATCTGCTCCCTGCTTCTGCCGAGCTGGCCACGTCAGCTGCCGATCTGCCCACGTCAGCTTGCGCCGGAACCTGCAGATTATCGATATTGCCGATGGGCACCTATGGGGGGCATGCCGATGGGCACCCATGGCGGGAAGGGCACCCATGGGGGGCTTCCCGCCATGGGTGCCGCTGCCATCAGGATCAGGAGCTCCCTGCAAGCCAACGACGAATGTCGACGTTTCGCATTTGCAAAAGAACTGGGCACCCTCCTTTCTAACAAGCAACCTTGATTTCTCCCGTTGTTGATGGCCAGTCCACGTGGCTATGGCTCCTCTATCGCTCAGTGGCGGCATCGACGCCATCGCCGTCGTCGATGCCGCCATGCCGCCGGAAGCCTTTCAACTCTCCTGCTCTCCACACTTACTACCGGTAGTAGTAGTCGATGTGCTGTGATTGTGATTTGCACAACTTCACGATGCATCGACTTTTTTTAGCATTCGGCCTTTGCGATACTAGTACCCGGCAATAGATGGAGTCTCTCGTCAAGGTGTTAGTGGTGTCGGCTCTTACCAGCACCAGGGTAGCACTAGAGGGGCTGTTCTGAAGAAAAAAAAAAGTCCTCGATTCTCTATTCTCTATTATCATTTTTTTTTATTTTTTTTTGTTTTTTTTTATTTTTTTTTAATGGCTGCTCGCTAAGGTAGCCGACAACGAACCAAGGACCAGCCGCCACGTGTCAGTCTTTTCTCCTTTTTTTTCCTCATGCCATGATATTTAACGCATGGCAAGCAGGCATAATTACACTAGGACCATCTAACTTATTTATGGACGTTACTGCCGTCGGATGCATCCAGGTGTGGCCGTAATTGCAGTCAGATGCATTTTTTTAAGTGCTAGTGTGAGTATGGCCTTATTAGAGGGATGGACAAAACGGTCACATCCACAGTCAGCCCATGGGCGTAGCGGGTAATGATGGGAACCATTCAATGCAAATGCAAATGCAAATGCAAACCGGTTTTTTTATTTTTCGAAATTTTGTTCCGTTTCGCGAGCACTCAGACAGACCGACCTTGCGTTTCTTTTTTCTCAAAATTGCAAACTCCATAACCTTAAGAGAAACAGAGGCCGGTGGGATCTCGACAAGACCCCCCAGGGGCCAAGTCCCACTAGCAGCGTTGAGCTACCTCAACGCCTGAATCTGGACGTGTTTGTGGAGACCTGCAGTTCAGGAAACTCAACACCATTTCTGCACATCTCAGCAAAAACGTCCATATTCGAGAGACGGTTAACGGGGGCCCAAATATTCGCCGTTTTCTTTGGCAATTGCGGTGCGAATTTCATCAAAAATTTTAAAAACAAACGATATGAGACCATAGTGCAAACATCAAAAAAGGAAACAGGTCAAAAAGAACGAAAAAAAAAACAAAAAAAGGTCCAACCAATTCAACAAAATGCGAACTTTTTCATTATTGATCCAAAAATGTCAAAACTGCACACATGACGTACCCTAAAGCACATATATATCACACAAAAAGAAAAACAAGAAAAAAAGCAAAAAATCAGCACAATATGACAGTTTCAGTGCAATTAGGTGCAAAATTCGTCGAAAATAACACCCCTGGTTAACCACGTGTGTCCAGATTCAGGCGTTGAGGTAGCTCAACGCTGCTACAGTGTAGTGGGACTCGCCCCCAGCTGAGCTTAGCTTAGGGGCAGATCCCAGTGGGAAAGAGGGTTGGAAAAAGAGTCTGAATGTGGAAGTTTTCCACGCAGAGATCAAGAAAAATGGCAATGTTGTGTGCACCTTTCCACGAACACGTCCAGATTCAGATGATGCTTATTCCAATCCTCTTTTCCTGTGGGACCTCGCCCTTACAGGATTTTGCTTGCGGGTCTTTTTTTTTTTTTTTTTTTTTTTTCAATAACACGGGGCCCAGTGCCCAAGGCTCAGATTGAAAATGATGAAAACAACACAAACACACACGCCTCTTCCGATTAGGGCCGGAAGAGCCTTAGCCACTGCTCCCATAGAGACAGATTCCCTCAAACACTGAGAAAATAAGAAACAAAGGTTGATACTGATAATTAATGAGCTATGATTCACCTAGGGGAGACAAAGGAGAAAAATTCCCAGTGCCCTATCCTAAGAACTGATAGGGGGGTGATCCCAGAGAAGATCTGAGTAATATAACTTACTGTCATCAGAAAGATTTGCCCATTGGAAGGGGGAAGACCATTTTTTCCTAAACAGCGAAGTAGCCAGATCTGAGGTTGCGGTGTTATTCTTGAGTCTGATCCAATCTGCTGTTATGTCTAGACGTAGAGCCTGCTTAAATTGAGGAATTAGGGCGGCTACAGGCGAAGRAGTTCCCAAGAATCTCCTMTCTCTCCTAGCTAYCCAAATGTGCCAGAATGCCCTTGCTCTGAAKCTCATTGCCAYTTTGCTTGCTTGATGTTTTGAGAAYTCTGATTCGACCCTGCCTGTGATTACGAGATTCTGATTCCAGAAATTTGGAGTTTTGTAGGCTTTATACCAGATTTTATTAAGAAACTCCCAGAAACCCCTGGCAATGACACACTCCCACCAGAGGTGTAGCCAATCCTCAAGGCTGTGGTGGGGACAGATGTCACAGCGAACCGGTATCTCCATACCTCTCTCTGAACACCATAAGGCAGTGGGAACACAGGAATGAAGGTGTAACCACTGTAGTTCTCCTAACTTACATTCTATTGTGGATAACAGCGAGTGTATGAAGAACAGGAGCCACTTTAATGAGGTTGGGTGGAGATTTACGGAGGATAGCTTCTGTTGCCAGTTAATGGATAGGCTGGCCTGCAGCGCCTGAGGCTTTGAGTCGAGCTTGTAACCCGTTTTGGCTGAGTAATCCTTGATGGGGACTTTATCAGAAGTACCATCGCTGTTAGAGATCAACCAACCATACCGACAGATATCTACTTTCCAGTCTCTGAGAGGAGTACCCTCCATGATCAGGTTGAAATAGTCGTCACAAGCCGAGGCTTTGGTTTGGGTGACTCTRATCTCCTCCATTTCCTTCAGCGAGATRYTGGCTGCCTCCTTGGTTTGCTCTAATCTGGTGTTACTCATTGTCCATTCTGATGCCAGAACCGATCCATCATCCTTAACTTCGTCCACTCTGTAGAAAATGTCTTGGCAGGAGGGTGGTTTGAACCATTGATGTTGTTTGTAGCTGACGGTTGATTGCTGGAGGGTGGAGACCCAGGCGGCCGGAATCGCTTGAATGATTTCAGAAAGGTGCTCTTGAACTTGATGTAGACCTGTGAGGGTGGGCCGTAAGTCCCTCGCTGTTCCAGATGTGGCTTATCAGCCAAATTCCACATTGCATCCAGCTCAATCTGAAGTTTTCTGCAGATTTTGATACAGAGAACGGAGTTCCTGTTGTACTTCTAATAGCAGGGTTCTCAAAAAGGCAGGTGTTTAAAATTTCAGTAGGGGATGAGGGTTCTTCTAGGAGCTGGGGGAGCATTTTCCCCCATCCCTTCAGGATGTTAGACCAGGTATTGCCGGCGGGTTTGGAAATAAATGGGCGCATTAGAAGGGCGTGCCATACGGCCTCAGGGTCGGCTAACTGCCATTCAGAGGCCAAGTAATATTGGAGGAGGATTATCCACGGCTGCTGCTCCTTAGAGGTAAGTGCTCTAATTGGCCATTTGGCTAACAGAGCATGATTCTGGTTTGTAGGGTCTAGTATGCCTAGTCCCCAGGATTTGCGTTTCTCTGTCATTTTCTTCCAGCTAACCTTGCTGAGAACTGTACTTGCCTCGGAGTTTCCTTTCCACAGGAGGCGCGTAATGAGCCTTCTAATGTTAGTCGCGGATTCGGGAGGTAGGAGGCGAATGGAAAGTATATACCATATTTTAGAAGAAATGAATGTGTTAATGACCATAGCCCTACCAAAAAGTGACAGAAACTGAGTCTTGGACTAGGTAGCGCAAGCGTCTCGGATTCTAGTCTCTATAATGGAGGCTTGTGTTTCACATGGATCGCCGAAAGAAATTTGTATTCCTAGGTATCTCTCTGAGTCGGACTTCTGTTTCACTGGTATTCCTAAGTCTAGTGCCAACGGACGGCCATCCGGTGTCAGGGCCACTAATTTTTGCCAATTGACCCGCATTTCCGAGGCGGTCTCGTAGACTGTTAGGCACTCCTCGAGCGTTGATAGGGAAGATGCAGAGTTTTCAGAGATGGCCGAGAAATCGTCTGCAAGAGCCGAGAAATACTGCGGGTCTTTTTTCCTGCTACCTGTAGATGCAAGCAGCTCTGTGGCTGAGCTCTTTTTCCTTTTTTTTTTTTTTTTTTTTTAAATTGGTCTGCAGACTACCTTAGTCCGGAAGGCCTGTGAAAAATTCACGTAAGCTGCTTACGTGTGCTCAGCCCACGGTATTCTTTAGTAAAAGGCGAAAGAATAGTATGTCCATTGAGCTGGGGCTAGGTCCCACTTGCACGAATTATGCCATATCGACCGTGGATAGCGAAGATCAACCGCCGCAATCTCCTAATCTGTGCAAGTGGGACCTTGCCCCTGGGCACGCAGCTGTAGGATGAGTTTTCTACTCTACAACGTTAGGGTCAGATCCCACTGGGAAAGAAAATTGGAATAAGTGGCTGAGAAGGAAAGTGTTCCACACAGAGATGCGGAAAAGCAGATCAATCACAATTGTTTGTATCTCTCCACAAACACGTCCAGACTCAGAGACTTATTCCGATCCTCTTTGTCAGTGGGATCTGGCCATTAGCTAGCTACGCCTCGCTCCACTTCTGGTCGATATGCACAAAATACCGAAATCATGGAGGTGTGTGTATCTTTCCATGTTCTAGTTGAAGATGCACTCTCGTTTTGCACATTTGGAGAGTAGTGGAGCGAGGCCCACTACCTACTGCCTACCTGCCTCTACCTACTGCCTACCTGCCAGAATGTATCCGACCGCTTTCACTGCAACATCCTTCTCTTGTTTTTTCCCTTCTCTTCTTTCTCTTCGAATGCCACGTTCTCTGGGAAAAGCCCCTGGCTGAGGGGGTCGCCACACCGCACACCAAACCAGAAGCGAAACAAGTGTGATCACACAAAAAAAAATGGCCACGTTCATCGGTTTCCTATACTTAGTAACGAGTGCATTTTGCCACCTTTCGTGTTTCATCCTTGCGCAGGGGCCATGCTAATCTTTAACCCCAGCCCAATTTTTTTTTTTTTTTTTTTTTTTTTTTTTTTTTTTGTAAGGAAAATATTTTTTTGTCATTCCAAATAAATTATGCATAGACGCGGGGGACCTCACAATTCAACCCGGAGTTATCCCGACAGCATCAACCGGTTTAGCTTATCTTAAACAAAATCACCTCTTGTTTTAAAAATAATATCCTTCCGGACCCTACTCCTACTCAATTGACTGTATATTTTACCTCACCATTCCTATTCTAATACACTGACCTATGGACGGTCCAGGCTCCGGCCTAACT